AATTATAATAAAAGCTGCAAAAATATTTGATTATTTGAAAAGAATTGTGTGCCTCATGAAATATGTGATTGAAAATAAGAGCTGCCTAAGGTCTTAATCGTAATTGTTTATTCAACTTATTTTTAATTTAAACTTTATCTACGATGGTTGATTGATAGTCACATTTTAGCAATTTTTTTTTTTTTTTTATGTTACTTATCGTTTTAGAAAGGAAATTTTAAATACATTTTGAGTTTGGACAATGAGAAAGCGAGAGTCAATATTCAAGCAATGTTTGGTACACATTATTTTTTTCATTCTCATTCTTCTACTCATTTTCAACCACACATTTTTTAATAAAATAATATTTTCCATCACATTAATAACATTTCCTTCATTTTTAACCACACATTCTCCATCAATCTACTATTCAATAATACATTCTTTCAAAAGAATGTGTCCCAAACACACTCTGAAAGTAATATTCTTATCTATACCTCGTTTATATCAAATTTAATGAAAATAGTTTACTTTTTGCAGTCGATGAGATGTTTGACTACTATAATCAATAAATTAATCTCGATCAAAATTGGTGAGATTGTTGTCTTAACTTGAAGTGGTACAAAATTTTCAAAATTCATTTTCTTTAAACTCATTTACAACCACATAATTTTTAAATTAAATAATTTTGCACATGAACTCATAAATTTTCTATTTTCAACTGCACATTTTTCAAAAATATCAATTTCGGCAAAATTTATTATAAAATGTACATGAAGCCTATCCTTAGTATAATGTGAATAATTTTTTTCCTTATTAATTAGCATAAATAACCAGATGTATAAGAAAAAATAAGCACCAAGAAATGGTCAACCAATCAAATTTTGGGGACAAAACTAGTTTCTCTACTAGCAACTTAGAAAGTGCGAATAGAGAAGCGAATATTCTAATAATAATTCTAAATAGTTTTTTGGTAGTATTAATTGATGCAGTCTCGACTGTAAAATAGACTTTTCAAGCGGAATTAAACTCTTATCAATCACGATAAGGGTGGAATTAGACTCTTATCAATCGAACTTGTAAAAAAATTGGAAAAAATTTTACAATCGAAAATTTACGTTCAAAAAAATCATACTCCAAAAAAAATCATACATCAATCGAACTTTAAATGTAACTTTTGATTTCATATTTCATATAAAATTTCTTAATAAAATAATGAAAATTACATTGAGAAATTTGTAGCGCAAAAATAATAAATGTTAATGAAATAATTGAATTTTTTTTAAAAAACAAATGCAGGTTAGATGTCTTTATTTAAAGACTCACGTTTAACGTATTTTTAACTATTTTTGATATTTGTTTGAACTATTCGATATGCACATAATGCAGTTCTCGAAATAAGTTTTGAGATGACATAAAAAATTTGTAGATTCGATTAGTGTACGATCGTCGAAGAATTTTTAAAATTAGCATTTTATCGAAATTCAAATTTATTGTGATTTTATTCCTGTTTGGTGGAGATTAAAATTAAATTTTTAGTAAATTTCGATAAAAATTAAACAGTTATGAATTTCATGAAATATGTTATTAAAATTAATTGTTAACTTTAATTTATATTAAAATTTAGATTTCAATCGATACCAGACAAGACTTTAAAAAAAAATTCTCAAAAGTTAGGGGTGGGGAGCACCAGGACCCCCCGGGGTCGCCCGTGCCAAAAAGGATAATTTTTATGTACAAAAATTATGTAAAATCCTTCCAAAAATGCCCATCAATCAATTGTGTCAACTTAGAAATTATAAAGTTAATACGTTCCATTGTTTTATGTTTGTGACAAATTATATGTTTGATATAAATTTAAAGTTAGCTCCATAATTTTTTATATTTTGAAAACTTCAACGGTTTTCAAAAGTAATGAATCAAGAGTCAATGGATTCAAAAATAAATCAACAATAAAAATTAAATAGATGGATGAGTGCAAAAATTTTGTGGTGAACTAATCAATTTGAAGTGAATCAATCGATTTTCAAAATGTGTTCAAAATAATAAATATTCAATCGAACAAGTGGGTTTGATCATATTCTCTAATAGCGTTGAAATTATTTGATTTATATAATCTTTTTGCACTCGTTCAACTGATCTTTACTATTGAGTTTTTGAATTTCGTATTATCTTCATGTAAAGAAAACACTCACTATGGGGTGAAGCATATCATTTAATTGACTATGCTACGTGTATAAAGAGTCCCTTTCTCAGCGCTCTTTGTTTCGTATGTTAGTGCTTTCTTTGGATTTTTCTGTAGATACGTTGGATTTAATGAAGCTCGATGGAATGAAGAAAAATACAATTTAGTTCAAAAATGTTTCATTGATGGGTTTGCGTGGCACCAAACTTATGGTTTTAAAAAAGATGACATCTATTTGATTCTTGGATTTGACGACTTTTGCTTCGAGCCCTAGTTACACGTGTTATATGTACCATCAATATTTTTTTCCCTTGTCCCTTTTACATATTCGAAAAGATATTTAATTAAAATTATCTTATTATGTATATTCGTGTTGATACAAGATAATTATCATTCATTGTTGGGGTGTGTAAAAGAATATAGTAAGTGGCCACTAAATATAGAACTATTGAATTATGTAGTATATTTTAATATTAAGAGGAGTAACAATAATTATTTTAATATGCTCCTTCGAGCCCATGCGTGAAATACTGTAGCGGCGGAAAATGATATAATCTCACATAGAAACAAACACATAAATATTATGTTACTTGGAATGTCTATTTTTCTCTGTGTGCGAATTGATTGCTCTCAGTAGAATGGAATTAGGTTTCTAATTTTCAACAATATGGCGATGGAGAAAACCATAACGAATTTGATGAAGGTATTGTCCGATAAGTGTGAGACGTCATCTACGTAAAATAAGGTAATGAAAAATAAGACTGATCACATAAAGAAGAATGGCAAAGTATCGAAGAAGAAGGAAGAAGAGAGTAACGATTTTATTATTGCCGCTGACAGTTCTACTGATTTTTGGATGATAGATTCATGAGCTTATTTTCTTATAAAAGACTTCAGATGTTCAACTAAAGAAATTGTGAACCAATCAAACTTTGGGCTGAAACTAGTTTCGAATAGTAATTGTAAATAATTTTTCATTGCACAAATTAATTTACACTTAGTCGTAAAATAGTCTCTTCGAGTGAAATTAAATTCCAAAAAATGTTGGTGTATTTTAAAAGTGTACAAGACCAAGTAAATAATTATAAAGATTAATAGATTGTATTAATTTGAAAAATTTTAAAAAAAAATACAAGTTATCTTCTAATCATCATTTCCTTTGAAGGTTAGCTACGTACTTTTTAGGGTTTGTTTGGGAGTTTTTTTTTTTCACCGATTTTGGGTGGCACCGTTTATGAGGGGTTGGAAAAATCAGTACTTACTAATCGATCCGCTCATAAATCCTCGAAATATATACCTTAAAAACGTTCATAACTGGTGCAGCAAAACTCCCAAGCAGACCCTTAGGGGATGTTCTCTTCGTGTTTCAGTTTTGAATTCATTTGAATTTTATGTTTTGAGTATCCATTTTGAAATTATTGAAAATGTGTTCTTTTTGTAATTTTGAAAAATTATTTTCAAAAACCCAAAATTGGAAAATGTGTTCTTCCCGTCTCTCTCTCTTCTTCTTCTTTTTCTTTTTCTTCTTATCTTCTTCCTGTCTCTCTCTCTTCTCCCCCTCCTCTATGTCGTCTCCCTCCCAAGGCCGTCGGTGCGGACGAGCAGCGAGCGGTTGTATGTGCGATCGCCAGCGGAGCTGTGCCACAAGCAGCAAGCGACGATCGTCGCGACTTCGTCTCTCTCTTTTCTTTTTTGGGACGCAATGGTTGGTTGTAGTTGTGGCGGTGGTGTGTGGTGGTTTTGGATCCATGGTGTGCGAATGTTTTGGGTCACGGCTGTGGCTGTGGCTATAGCGGTGGTGTGAGTCGTATAGCGATGGTTTTTGGGTATGCAATGGTTGTGGCTGTGGTGTGGCGATGACTCTGGCGGTGGTTTTTCATTTGTTGTTGTGGTGGTGGCCGTGGGTTGCGATGTCGCCGGCGGTAGTTTTGGTGGTGCAGCGACAACGTTGTGGTGCAGGCGGCGATGGCGATGGTTTTTGTTGGTAGCGTAGTTGAAAACACCCAAAACGAGTTTTGAAAATTTTGGTCGACTATAATTGAAAACACCCAAAACGACATTTTTCCCGTTTTCTGTTTTCTTTGTAAATATTAAACTCGTTTTCAGAAATTCGTTTTTGAAAATAGGTAAGTAAACATGTTTTCGCTAATTTGAAAAATTAAAAACAAAAAAGGGGATGAAAACCGGCAAAGAGAACAACCCCTATTGTTTGAAAAAATTGACTCTGGATAAATAATTAAAAGTTAGGTGTGACCTCACCAATTTTAGGGTATAATGACTGATTCTAAGATTATTTTGTTTAGTCCTAATATTCAATCTTTTACAAATAATCGAATTGCATTTTGGACATGATCTTGATTTTTCGATCGAATCATTCTAATTCTTTGATAACATGTTAGGCTTTCTATGGAATTTGATCAGAAATAGAATCACATGGAAAGAAATCGAATAACATGAGCTCTATTTCGATCCAACTTATGATTGGTTGTATAAGGTCGGTTATTTGGACTCTCTTTTTATATATTATTTTCTCTCTGTATTGCAGGAAATCTTGATCGATCTTCTAAGATGAGCAGCTAACAGAAAAATTTTATTTTTCTTACCTACTTCATCTTTTAATAGAATATATATATATATATTATATCTAAATCATAAACAATGTGGGGATGTAGCTCAAATGGTAGAGCGCTCGCTTTGCATGCGAGAGGCACGGGGTTCGATCCCCCGCATCTCCATTTTTTTTTTTTGGGTATTTAATTTTTCTGACCGTTGTGAATCTTTGCCGTTCAATATAAACCACCAATTCCACACTTGAACCCAACGCCACTCATCCATCATGTCGCCACTTAGCGCAGCCATTATCCCCTTCGCCGCCGCCGTCCACTTCCCGCCAAAACCCCCCAATTCACCACCAGTCTCACAATCGCCCCATTGCTCCTCCCCCGAACACAACCACCCAATTTCCCGTAGGGGTTTCGCCGTTTTACTCTCATCAATCGTCACTGTCCCACTCCCTTATGTCCTTCTGCCAACTCCTCCAGCCACCTCAATCTCCTTCGGCATCTGTAGTCACTGTTTCCCCCACCTCAATCCACATTTTGTTCTCGAAGTAATAAAGCCTTAATTATTTATTTTCTGTGTTATTTGTTTGATTAGCAGGACCTAAAGAATGGCTGAGAGAGCAGAAGAAGAAAACTGCGAAATTCCTGTTAGCACCTGTTGATGCATCGCGGAACATACTTCAATCTGCCTTCATCTTACTTAGTACATATATATTATTTTATTTAAATTTTTAAATTTGCATTTGAATTGGGGAAATGTGATTGATTTGTATGGAATTTAACTGTTTGGATAGTGAAAAGCGAGTCGGAATTCGGTGGAAATGATTGGGAGGATTTTCAGAAGTTGCTTAAATCTGCAGCTAGGGATTGTGTTCCTCAGGATAGGAATTCCTTTGTTGAGTTTCAATCCAATACCGGAGTTGAGGTGATCTAATCTTTTCTAGATACCTTATTTATTGTATTTCAGAATTTTATTGTATTCATGTCCTCTAGGATTCTTGCAACTTGTTAGCCAAACCAATTTCCAGATTCCCCAATATCCTCCTCCTGAAAAATATCAAGAACTGAAATAAAAATAGAGAAATAACAATAACACAAATATGAAAATTTACGTGGAAAGCTCTGCAAATTTGAAGATTTCATGATGTGAAAATTTGTACAATCAAATAATCTTTCACATCCAAAACCCAAAGAAATCTAAGAACAATCTCCCACAAAACCTCAAAAAAGAATTTCTAGTTCAAGAACTAAGTTTTCTCCCCTCTCTGTCTGTCTGTCTTCCCACCCCACCCACCCCAATACTTGGAGTTTCTCAATCGTTTGGTTCGCTTTCTTTTTCTTTTTTCCAATAGCTTAAGCACTCCTTATATAGCTACCTTGGACAAGTCGCTTCTAATTTTTAATTGACATGGGACAAAACAAAGTTCTCTTTATAATAGGTATTAAACTAGGTTTTCAAACATAAGAAAAAAACCCCTACTTTTCAGCACTCAGTTTAGTTTTGGTCTAATCCTTCCTCCCTCTTCAAACATATTCTACGAGTTGACAAATAAAAAATAAAGTTCTAATTGAAACTTCAGGGGCTTGGTTGAGAATTTTTGAAGAACTTAAGTGACAGTATATTTCTTTGATGCCAGATTGGTTACTGTGCTTCGTTTCTTAGTGATTGGCTTGATCATATAGCAATTTAGTGCAATAGAAGTGTATGAATGAGGGGAAATCGAAGGAGAAAAGAGTTTGCTTATATTGTTGCTTGTAAATCAACTTTTAATTCGTAAACTGAATTCCCAAATTGTAGGTCTGCACATTCCGGTTGATTGTGAAAAATGCTGCTTCTTTGCTAGATGATAAAGATCCTATAAAGTTAAAAGCTGAAGCCAAGCTCAGTGATCTCATAAGGTGTGCAAGTATTACTTCTGTTGTATTGCATATGGTAATATACTTCGCTTGCTGTTTCTAACATGCACTTCTTATCAAGAAATCTGTTAACAGTATCCATGAAATAATGTTTCGGTTTTCCTCAAAATTGTAGATCTTTTGATGTTCTTAGCGGCATGGCGAGAGATACTGATATTCAAGTTGCTTCTAACAGGTATTAACATTGAGTTGTAAAATAATAGTGCATCACTAGATTACTTTTGAATTTATGAAACAAATGTGTAGTTCTTGATTTAAATATGTAGTCCGAGTAGTGGGTCATTCGAGAGAATTAATAAACAGATAAAGTAAGCAGGAAATGTACGAAGCACTCGCATATTTGTAGTGATTTACCCTAAAAAAATTGAGATCTATGATTACTTGACGCTACAGGTTTTCATTATAATGGAGAACAAGAGTAATGCCCCTGTTTGGTGGCCATTTTTTTTGGTAAAACATTGTTTTAAATAGTGATCTTATGGAGAATGTGTGATTAAAATGTAGAGGAAGAATTTTAGGTTTACGTGTAGAAAATTATTTTTGTATGAATATGTAGTTGAAAATAAGTATGTGGAAAAAAATTAAAAGAATGGAAGACAAACAAAGTTATCTTACGTCTCCTAGTCTGCCTCACACAAACCCAAACCCTCCCACCTCCACCCTCAAATATTTCCACATCCTCGAGAGATTTTCTTTTATAAAATATTTCCATGACTATTTTCACTATGAAATAAACAAGCGTTGATTTAAGATGTGCTGTATCATATACTCAAATTCACAAATTCACCAACAATTGAACTTTGTAGAAATTATTTGCATTTTCGAAAACAATTTTGCATATTCAGAATTGGAATGTAATAAATCACAAAGAAACAAAACTCTGAACCACACCATCAAATCCCTTTCTAGTTTATCTCACAAAACAATCCAAATCCACATATTCATATCATATTGATGAAATTATATAAAATTATCCTGTTATTACTTGCTTCAATTAACACCCACGACTTCACTGCTTCAATTTCATGAATTTGGGTGTTTTGGTGGAAATTGGGAGTCTCAGGTTTGGGTGGGGTTTGTGGATCATTTACATATCTTATAAGATTGGGCTAATTATTTGGCCCATTTCAAAAAAGATTTAAGCTTAAGTTGATTGCTAACCTATATTCTTAAATGGGGGTGGCCCAAAGTTCAGTGCAGGTAGATGCCTGTACTAGGCCTTCATTGGGTCAGCCCCTGCCTGTGACCTTCACCCATTGACCTTACCGTGAAGGTTGATCCGCGGTTGATGTCTAAAGTTTACATATGATTAGGCTCTATATAGTTCTAAACATAAGACCTCGACCTACCACCCAGTTCTTGTATGAATATACAAGAAGGGGTGAAGTATATTGCATTTGCTACATCAATCATCATGTTTAATCACGGTTACTTGCTCCTTTTGCAGTAGGCAAATAATCGCAGATGCACTCCAGGATACAATATCCTCTCTGAACGACTTTGAGCAGGGTATAAAGAACTGCCTCGAAGTTTGATTGTTTTTGGTTTTTGAGCTAAAAATCATCTGGGGGAGAAGATTTTGAAGACGTTCTTCCGGAGATAAGATGGAAACAAATGAATCATGGGCAACATGCCTGCTCTCTTCCTCCATGGATGAATTCTATTACCCCAATCAATGAAGAGAACGAGATTTAAACATGAATCTCTTGACTGTCCTAGATTCTTTTATGAATTTTATGTTAATGTTTGTTTTGAGATGCTAATTTGACATCAACAATTTCTTTTTCACATATAATCGTTATGTTTTACCCGGGTTATTCTATTCAACCTCTTATAAAGATATCGCCCAAGCCATTGTGGGTTGTATATAACGAGATGCAATTTCAATTTATGAAATTATGTAACTTCAGAAATTTAGGGGCAGTAAGCATGTGCTTAAATATGTGATCACTATTTGACAGTTGATATACATGCATAAATATGGAGTATGGAGCCTGTTGTTTTCTAATAACCCAGACGATCTTTACCTAGTTTGGTGCAGAACTTATTGAAACAGTTCTTGAAGTCTCTTTTTCTATCAGTCTTGATGCCCTAAAGCATTTTTGAAATGTCAAGTTAGGAGAAATAAAGTTGAAGATTTCTTTGTATACATTTGTTTGTTATTATGTTGTACTTCTGTTTGCTTTTCCGGTGTAATCAGCTAATAGCTATTTTTGTCTTGACGGATTAAGGCCACCCAATGGTTGGGCAATTATTTGTGAGAACGCTGTAATGCCGAGGTGCTTGCTTTGGGATAGATGAATGACTTTTGCACAGGATAAGGATGGTATTCTTTGTGCCCATAAAAACTGGTTGGTGGCTCTGAAGCTTTTTGTTGCTATTGTTGTATTTCTTGGTGTTTTTGAGCTTGCTTTCCCCCCAGACAGCAACAACACCATATGAGAATCATTAAGCCAACCTGTAAAAGAAATGTGGATATCCTCCTCTCAATCAATGCTTTGTTTTGAAGCTTTGATCCGGGTATTCCAAAAAATGAGTAGAGGTGCAAATCAGATCATGCCAAGACAATAAATGATCGATGACGACTTAATTTTGAGGTGCCAGGCACTGGGGAATAGTACTTATCCATCATGACTTTTGTGCCACCTATACTGATGATGATCACGATATCATTATTTTGCAACGAATTGTATACTGTTCATCGAGATTGAAAAGAGGGCGGGCAATTATTGATTATTTATAATGTTCTACTTTTCCAAGTAATTAGCTAGTAACATTAAATAAGAATCATGTGATTATGCCTGATTTTGCTAAGCTCTACATCACTTTCATTAAATTTCAAGACTCATCTACCTTGTTTTAAAGTCATATTTTTGGATAAGGTCTTATGATTCTTGATCCAATAGTTGATGCTCTCCCCACCCACCCACTCACTGCCCATTAAATAATTACCTAAATAGAAATAATTTTTTTATATTTTTATTTCTGCATCCTTGTTATTGTAGTCTTATGATGTGTAAAAATGTGGAGACAGACACAACCAATAAACAACTATATATACGAACTAAATTTAATTTTCAAAATTACTTTTATCAATAAAAACTTTAATATTTAATAGGTAAAACTTAACTTATATGTGAAATACTTGTGATAAAAATAAAAAATAAAAGATAAACTTATTTTTTAAGAAAGTGACTTTTAATCATAATACTCTTTTGGTCAAAGGGCGCCTCTATCATTATTTAATTATATATTTGTACCAATAAGTTGGTACAAATGGCACCAAAGCATACTTGAAAAGAATATACCACATATTACATGCGGATGTATATGTCTTAGAATCTCCCGATGGATCAATCAATCAAGAACTTCAAGATTTTAGCAGGAAGAATTGTAATTATATCCTCAGAAGTAAGCCCTTTCTAGATTTCTTCATCATACAAAAAAAAAAAGCTATTCCATTTTATATTAGATGCACTCTTTAAAATCAACGAGTAGCTATAACTTGGGATTTAATCTCATAGAGTTGATAAATATTTGGCCTGTAAATTCAATGAATGAATATCTCTCAACGATCTTGAATAGGATCAATATGGTTTGACATCATTTATATGATCAACTATAATCTTAGTCTTAGTCGCAGACAATATATTAAGGGTTGGAGTCTTTCGATAGATTAGTCATTTGTAAATGCAAGTATATTTTTTAAGTATACACATTATTTAAAATTGACTAGTAAAGACACGAAGTTCAATTAGTTGTAAGTATACTACTCAAATTTTAATTTATTAATCCAAAACGCAAAAATTGTGATTAAAGTTTCATTCTCCCAACATTCTTAGCCAAGTGACTAGATGGTGCAATACTCGATTGTCGCCAGGAACGACAAGTTCGAGGTTCACATCTATCACAAACTATATCAATCAGGAATGGAAATATTCCACTTGAGGTAGTCTTTGCTAAACATTGACCAAAGTAGATTCATTTTTAAGGGGATAATCCAATTAATGGGGTCACTGTACATAATTTTGGTCCACAAGAATTGGCTAGGGAGGATATCTAAAGCTCCCAGCTTTTAGATTCCATTTTCTGGAGCTTTCCATTTCGAGAAACGGTGAGAGATTTTTTTGGAATTTTTTTTATAAATATGCTACATTTTTACTTAAGATCAGTCCATTAAACTATTTCACAAAGTTAATCAATTCATTCAACGATAATTTATTAATAATTTTTCAGAAGCAATAAAATAGCAAGATCTTATTTTATTATAAATTTGTAATTTTTTTTCATCACTCTGAATGAGTGTTCTTATTTCTTATTTCTTTTTGGGTTTTGTTTATTGAGTAGGCTGGCTTGTGTTGTGTGACGTGTATTTCTGTATATTGGCCGGCTATCTTGTTGGCATCTTTTGCTCCCCACCTCCACCCAATACCCTCTCTCTTCTTACCTGATAATCTGTGTATATAGTGATGAAATGATCAAAAATAGCTTTGAGTTTGTGTTTTTTTGGAATTTTTTGGCATGTTTCTTGATTCTCAAGAAACCCACAAGTTTCCACTCTTTTATCCACTGTTTTATTCCTTATGGTAAAAAAAAAAATTATTTCTTATGAATTTCTGATATGGGTTTCACTTATTTTCATTTATTAGCTTTTTTGCTTCTCTGTAAAATTAGGTTGTTTTGATTTCTTGATTGAATGTGTTTGAGTGAAACAGTTAATGGAATGACTTTTTAATCCCTGTTTATTTTTGTTGGTAAGGTCAAAAGATTAGGATGTTAGTTGACTTTGTCTTCCCTTTTCCTTTTAATAAGGATCTCAGTTCTATCTCTGCTACTGGTAATATTCGTTTAATATTTCTGACATTATTTAACTTTGTATTTCTCTGATTGAGGTATTGATCATAACTTCTATTGAATTTTTGGGTTTTTTTTTTCCTTTTTTTTTTTTGCTTAATTGATAACCGGAGATTTTTTATGGATCCTGCCATTTCACTGATTCTTACTAAATAACGAGCTAATGAATTGCATTACTTGAGACGTATGTGAAAGACTCCTTTGAAATGAAAAGTTTCATTAACACCTAGTTAGTTTATTTGCAATATGTTTTTGATTCCTTCAATACTTTGCTTTTATTAATGTATATATTGAAACAGGGTGTCCCTGGATTTGTAGATTGCTTTTGTCTGGTTCTATCAATGTTCTTGAAGGTGTTTGGTGCAAAATAAGTTCAAGAAAGATGGAGAATTCTTACGAAACGCATAGCAATGGACATGTGAAAGATCCTGGCCTACAAATAATCCGGCACCCATTATACCAATCCTCGAGCAAGTTTTCGTTGCCTTGGTTTGATATACGAGTGTTCTATGTTAGTATCAGCAATTTCAGGGTTGATGATTCTACCCCAGAATTTCTCTCTCTCAATCATAGCCCTGTGATCCGCGACACGCTCCTTGAAGTGAACGGTGTAAGATGTTCGATTGATTCTGAAGGAGTTTCTTGCCTTCTTCGAAGGAATAGGATAGATAAGAAATCCGAAGAGGCTACATTTGTTAGCACAGATAGTATACGATTAAACGGTAGTGCGAGGTTTGAAGTTTTTAATAAAAAGGAGCTCGTGCTCTCCGGGATTTTGGGAATGTCCCAAGCCAATGGTTCTACCGGGGAAACAAACAATTTGGCCCGGAGGTGGAGCATGAATTGTGAATCGGTAATGACTGCTGGCACTGGATTTCTCAAGGGGAAACACATAATGGGCGCTGAATCATCGTCCCCTACAATCGAAGTTTATGTTGCTGGTTGTTTCTCGGGAACGCCAATCATATTAACCAAGACGTTGCAGCTTAATCATGCGAAGAAACATAAAAAGGGAATGTTAGATATGATTCCGGAATGTGAAGCCTCCGAGTCCCATGAAGATGTTGCATCTGGACCTGATCTACAGGTAATGTTGTTCAATAATGGCATGTTCCGTTAAGAGCATTTTTGATAGCACTAGATAGTATAAAATAATAAAAACAAGCTAAAATATTTTTACTTAAGCTGCCAAGTTTTGTTCAATACTGCGTACAAACCAAATTTTCACTGAGTATTTATTTTCTTGATATATCTGACATATAAGAGTCCTGCATTCTCATTCTATTTATTACATGCCCCATAATTCAATGTTCATAGCATTCATTGTACGTATTGCTGCAATAATTTGAATTTCAGGAAAGCAATAACTGGTATATCTGGCAATAATTTGAATTGCAGAAAGCAATAACTGGTATATCAGGCATGAGAATTATTCGTACCAGAATTTATTACTAATTACGTGTGTGCAATTCTTGAATGTTGTTTTCTCCATCTTCAAAGTTTAACCTATACTATTGCAGCCATTGATTAATGCACTACCTGTTAACGTAGTCCTAATGTTTATACACAAAGGACAAGCATGAATATGAGCACGAGATCATATCATTTTATCTTATTGTTCCATTATTGATTTATGCTTGCTTCCTCTTGCGAAACATGTTTCTTTGCAATTTTTCTTTAGAAATTGAATCTAGTCTTATCCTCAACATGTCACAAGGGTATGGGGAGGCAGGCACACATTTTGAAATAACAGAGTATTCTCTTGTGTTCCGTTTTCCTCTTGCATTATCCATATCCTGATCCAATCATCGCAAAAACTAGGTAGGTAGTCTTCAATTGTGGGGCCCATTAAATCACTTTTTTGGCATCCCATAGCAACCTTTTGGAGGTCAATTATCTTTTCAGGATCTGTATGACCATAACTTTCAGTTTTTCCTGAAAATTTTATAATACTATGCACATGTATGGTACTATAAGATTTTTCAACATGTGTTATTTTTCAACTACATTGTTTTCAAGAAAAAACATAGATCTTTGATTTTAATGCCAAATATTATGTAAAACTATGTTTTTGCTTGTATTCAATCTTGTAATATTCGATCATAATGGAAAAGTATTTAAAGTATGATGCCTACGATACATGGAATCTTGTTTTTGACATTAAATGGTATATGTTTATAATGAATAATAATCTTGGACATGGAGACATGCTATTAAACGGTATATTCTTTAGAATGAATGATTGTATTAAACGGTATATTCTTTAGAGTGAATGATTGGATTAGTCACATCCATGTCCAGAGTGTTGTGTATCTATATAGGTATAGAAGCCTAACAAGAAAGGTTCGTGTATATAAACTTTTATATTTACTCTCATGTTTAAACGTTTTAATGCATTGTTACTTAATCTTTGGTTGTGTTATTGTATCTTTCATTTTGTGAGCGTTAAATCTGAAGCCACCTATGGTTTACTTTAGGAGTTGTTTGGCACGGAGGACTCGAGATTATAATAAACAAGATTTTAACTTTTTTCACTTTGATGTGGTCAATTACTGTACTATCCACCTTATTGAACAAACCAATAATGTACAGCTAGTAGACATTAGTGATAATATTCGTACTTTTTTCATAGACATGCATCCGAGTCAAATTGCGATATTTCCATTATACCCTTTACAGGTTGCAGAGTACAAAAGTTATAAACCGGAAGGCGAGGAAGACTATGATAACCTGTATTGGAGACAGACCGAATATATCGAAGGTGAAGACGGGGAACTTTCTTGGTTTAATGCTGGCGTTCGGGTGGGTGTTGGCATAGGCCTTGGCATTTGCTTGGGGATCGGAATTGGAGTTGGTTTGTTGGTCCGTACCTGCCGAACAACAACCCGAAACTTTAAAAGACGGTGACAGATTTTGGTTTGGGTTCTCTTTCTTCTGAGTGAGTGAGTGGATTAGTAGGTACAACTATCTTTGTAGAACGTAGATCTCTTCTTTCTACATCGATATATGCCTATCTTTTAGATTTGACTCATCCCTCTTCCTTTTGTATGGCAATTCGATGTCTTAGAGTGCCATTGCAACCAAAGAATTTCTTTTTGCTTCGTGAGGAAGGGATTATGTTAGTATTATCATCACAACCATGTTCATTTCGGGCGCAAATTTTCTTAATGTTTTTTTTCTTTTTTGAAGTGGAAAGCCAAACGAAAAAATGTCTCTAGTCGGCCGGTGTACGGGACTGTCTCGGGTTCTCTTCGCGTGCAGATTCTACATTTTTTTAATATTTTGGAATGAATTCTCACTCTGAATGTTTTGAAGAGAATGTTGGTATATATAGAGGGTGGAGTGCAAAATGTTTTATTTATTGTACAGTAAATGTGTTTCTTTCTTTGTGCATAGCCATTTTTTTGTGCTTAATGATTTTTAGGTTATAACTCAACTTATTTTCATATTTCGCTTTTTTTTTTCCATAAATATTGTAACTTTTAATTTTAATAGTAAAGTTACAAAAGAACTTTTTAAATGACTTCAACAAAATTCATTTAGAGCTAGTAAAAAATATATTTACCCAAATAATTAAATAACAAAAAACTATCAATTAGAATATACCAAAAAATCAAAAATAAAGAAAAACCATTGCGAGTATTGACTAATTTAAAACTAAAATGCAACAGGTAAACTTCATTAGCGGTAACTGCACTTTACCAAATAATGTTATTCATAGTCAGTGATTGCAGTAGTCTTCTTATGTGGCAACTTATTATTTGAGGTATTAATTTTTTATAATTTTGTTGTTTCAAATAACAGGTTAATGCTTTAAATAACAAGCTATCATATGAATGACTACCGTAGTAGCTGACTATGAACATTACTTTACTTCACTTCAATCTTGTCAAATAGTGACGTAGCAGAAGATTATAGGAAA